CCTACATCAGCTCATTGAAAATCATTTTTATTGTTCTGAGACAAACAAGTAGGAAAAGGTGAATGAAGTTGGAGCCATCTCTCCTCCCTCTCTCGTCACGTCTCTCTCACCTCTCTCCTCTCCTCTCTCTCTCCTCTCTCTCTCATCTCAACTCCTGCTCTCTCTCCCTCCCCCCCCCCCTTTACTCCTCTCTCTCTCTCCTCTCTCCTCTCCACCTCTCTCTCTCTCCTCATCTCTCTCTCTCTGCAATCCTCTCTCTCTCTCTCTCTCTCTCTCACCTCTCTCTCTCTCTCTCTCTCTTCTCCTCTTCTCTCTCCTCTCTGTCCTCATCTCTCTCTCTCTCTCCTCTTCTCCTTCTCTCTCTCCTCTCTCGTCCTCCTCTCTCTCTCCCTCTCTCTTCTCTCTCTCTCTCTCTCTCATCTCTCTTCACTCCCTCCCCCCCCCCCCCCTCTCTCTGGTCTCTCATCTCTCTCCTCAGTCTCTCTCTCTCTCCTCCCTCTCTCCCTCTCTCTCCCTCTCTCTCCCTCTCCTCTGCCCCTCTCTCTCCCTCTCTCTCCCTCTCTCTCCCTCTCTCTCCCCTCTCTCTCTCTCCCACTCTCTCCCTCTGCTCTCCCTCTCTCATCCCTCTCTCTCCCCTCTCTCTCCCTCTCTCTCCATCTCTCTCTCTCTCTCTCCCTCTCTCTCTCTCCCTCTCTCTCTCTACCCCCAGTAATATTACTGTGTACACCTTTTCTTTGGTGTTGAACTAGAGAAAACATTATTCTTTCCAACACTCCAACTAGAAAAACAATTCATATTTATGTTAATTTATTCTAATGTGGGGTGTATTTATCATGTTTGTTACATAGCATGTTTATTATATAATTTTTTAAAAAAATATTATAGATGGATTATTGAAAATGTGTATTTTAACGTAATATATGACATTTAATGTGCCTCAGAGTGATTATTATTGCATATTATTATTATTGTTATCAACATTATTAATATGGCATCCTGAAGACTAATAGGACACTCATAGTGATTTTAACATGCCAGCACAGTGTGTAAGTTTATTTGGGTACAGGTACACATAAGTATAATTATCAGAGTACAGTGGACCCTCAGCTAATGATGGCATCAGCTAACATTAAATCCAGCTAACGATACATTTTAACACAAAAATTTTGCCTCAGCTAATGCTAAAAAACTTGCCCAACGTGATTCGTTTGAGACACGTCCACATGTGGCCTGAGCGCGCCTCAGTTGTCCCGTGGGTGCCAGTGTTTACAAGCCAGCCAGTGCGGGCGCATCTGCACATACAGTCGGAACATTTCATATTATCACAGCGTTTTTAGTGATTGTACCTGCAAAATAAGTCACCCTGGGCCCCAAGAAAGCTTCTAGTGCCAACCCTATGATAAAAAGGGTGAGAATTAGTATGGAAATTAAGAAAGATTTTGAAGGGTAACCCTGAGATGCTTATGCCAGTTGTGGCATCCATTGTGCCTACTTCAAAGATTAAGGAAATGTGTACAAAGTGGGTTGAACTGCAAACCTTTATGGATGAAAATCACCCTAACACAGCTATTGCAAGCCATGCTGGTGACTATTACAATGACAATGTTATGGCCCATTTTAGGCAAACCTTAAAGGACCGGAAGGTACAGACCTCTATAGACATATTTGTTGCGCGACAGAGGCCCAGTGACTCAAGCTGGTCCTAGTGGCATTAAAAGAAGAAGGGAAGTAACCCCGGAAAAGGACTTGCTACCTCAAGTCCTAATGGAAGGGGATTCCCCTTCTAAACATTAACAACTTCCACACTCTCCCCTCCTCCCATCCCATCAATCATCACCAGATCTTCAATAAAGGTAAGTGTCAGTTTGTATGTATTAAAATTAATATTTCATGTGGTAAATTTTTTTTTTTTTCATACTTTGGGGTGTCTTGCACGGATTAATTTGATTTCCATTATTTCTTATGGGGAAAATTAATTCAGCTAACGATGAGCTTTCAGGAACGGATTAATATCGTTAGCTGAGGGTCCACTGTATATATAAAACATGAAATAACTTTAAAACACTTGAAATTTTGGAAGGTTTCCAGACATAATTGAGAGGCATGGTGCTCATGGAGCTCACAAAGAATGTAAACAAACTGAGTGGAGCGCTGTGACTATATTAGAAAGTCATGTGGTGGGAGTTGTATAGTGAGTTTTGGTCATAATTTGAAATGTCTGTATTAGCGGAACACCGTAAAGTGAAACGCCATAAAGCGGCGCCCTACTGTACTTAAATATGAAGCTTTTAATAAAAAGTTTTTTCCAGAGGCAGTCAGAAGATGCTTGTGTTGTTATTATGATAAGATGGATGACACATCATATAATCTGGCTCTTGCTGATCTCTATATGGATAAGGATGGCTGTCTTTAGTATAATTCCTGCATATTCCCTCAGTTTCCTTTATCCAGTTGACAACATCTTCCAGGTGCTTTGTTGAAACATGTTTACCTGTCTTTCCTGGTTCAGACATACCTTACCCTGCTGTGTAATCTTGTCCTCATACTGCTGTGGTGAAGGCAGAAGCTTAAATATTCTATAGTGGTTCACAACCTGCCACATCCTCAGAATTTCATGCAGCTAATGTTTATTAACCCTTAAACGGTCCAAACATATATATACGTTCATGGCGTAGCACCCCAAACGTATATTACGTTTTCTTGTCATTTATTCAAACATTGCCATAATAAGCCTGAGTTCACCTAGACATGAGAGAATGGGTTTGGCGCACCATGTGTTTCATAATTAAAATAATTGGGGTTCCTGGAACATATGCTCTTTTTTTTTCCCTTTTTAAAAGAAAGGATTTTTTTCCTCAAAAAATTTGGGGGCGCTACGCGAAGTGAATGTATATATACGTTTGGACCGTTTTAAGGGTTAAACTGTGAAATGGGTGTCACTCATCCTTGGTTATTTAGGTTGTGTGTCAGTGTTTGTTTTTTTCCTTATTTTCGGTGTGTCACCCTTGTTATCCCAATTACAAATGATATTTTAACCCTTGACTGTTTCAGGCCCTCTTGAAACTGTCATTCTATGTCGCTCAATTTTTGAAAAAAAAAAAAATTATTTTTTCTTATGAAATGATAGAGAATCTTTTCCCGATGGTAATGACACCAAAAGTTCGAAATTTGGTCGAAAACTCGTGGAATTATGCTCCCGCGAAGTTAGCGGTCTCGGCGACATATGCGTATCGGCGATTTCGCCGACTTTGAGCCCAATTTTCAGCCAATTCCATTGTTCCAGTTGACCAAACTCATAGCTATTTCTTTAGAACTCCATTTTATCTATCAGCTGAGTACAAGAAACCTCCCATTTACTAATTTGGACTACCCAATATGGTGGTCAGAAATTGGCAATTTGGCCAATTTCACGCAAAATAAAAAAGATGCCAATTTCAAAATAGGGTCCAGAATAAACAAGGTAGACATTTGTGGCACTAAAATAACATATGCTCTGTTCATTAGTCACATCTCTAGGCCCCTCTTATATTATTATTGCTTTCTATTTTGATTTTTTATTCATACAAAAAAATACAAAATTTACTGTTATGCAGACGACTGCATTATTGTAAAAATGGTATAAATAATATCAGTGCACTAGTGAAAGAATATTAGACTCCCCAGTTGACGTGTATTGGACGTGTGGTGTGATTTATGTACTCTTGAACATTGGTAAAAATCGAACATTTCTGCTACTTTGAGCTCAGTTTCAAGGTCGTTTTCATCGTAAAAGTAATGAAAATCATCTCTATTTCTGTAATATGTTTTCCATTTTATCACCTAAGACCATGAAAACGCGAATACAACGATAAATACTATACGAAAATACACCTCAAAGTCGGCGTTTTATTCCAAAAAAACGATCAGAGTTTTTTTTTTCTCATTACGCAATGTGTGCTGCAGGATTTTTTTTATGTGGTGCACACTGACCACACAGACCCATTCTCTCACATGTGGGCCTACCAGCTTTCTCCCATTTGATTTGAAGCCGCTAGAATTATTGAGTATATATACGTCAGAAACATTGGCTCGTAAGACGTATTTATACGTCGAAAACAGTCAAAGGGTTAAAGATGGACAAGAAAAAGCACTGTACACTGTAAGTCATTTTATACAGGGTTTTGCTTCTGTAGATGTAAATAAGTCTCAATCTTTTCCACCTCTCTAAGTACCCAGCTGTTGATATGTGAGGTACCCTAAAGGGTATTTATTGTTGCTTGTTAACTTTTGTCTATTCATATCATCTTCTGTGTCCAGTTTTCCTTATGCATGGTCACCTTTCTCATTCTCTTCTAGACTTTTTTATGTTCAGTGCTTTATTGCCACCTCTTTATTACCATGCTCTTAATTGATTGCCCTGTCTCTTTGCAATCAACTGATGTTTTTCTTTCATTTTCTCTGTTTTTAATGTCCTTTATTCAGTATAATCCTAAAGCATACAGACATAATCTTGGAGAGCTTCAGCTATTTAGTTCTTACCTTCTCTGACATTCTCTTTACCAGTGTCTTAGTACCTTGTGCATATCAATTTTTCTCATATCAGATTTTATATTTTAGCTGCACTCCACCATACCACAGTCCTTGCTCATTTAGGTACATGTTATAGTATATAATTTGTTCCTTGTTCTGTTCTTCCCTCCTTTATGCTCATTGTTAGAAGACATTTGAATCTTTACACAAACTACAATGTAGATTTTACAAGAGTCCATCCCTACAAGAATTTGGAAGTCCTGGAGAAAACAGGGTGGATAGGTAATTAATTTAGATAAACTGTGACGTGAGCTTTATGGTCTTCATAAATCCATTAGGTAATACTGTACATGAATACTGTGGGTTTTGGTGAAGGAACTGTTACTTTTTTATATTTTAAAACTTTGTAATATTTAGGTCACTTTAGGGTCAATATATTTTGTATAATTTTTTTCATTAAAATCATTACTTCATATTTTCATTATATTTCAGTGCAGTATTTGTGGGAAGCACTTGGCAAGTGGAAAACTGTTAGAGCGTCACATGGCCAGTCACAAAAGGCAGTACCAGTGTGACCTATGTAACAAACCTTATAGCAACAGCACCAATTTGGCACAACATGTTCCACTCTGCAGGCAGGTCAGTAACTCTCTCTTTACCTCACCTCTGAATTTTGTTCTCATTTGGTGCATATCAGCTGCTTGAAAAAAAAAAGTACCAAATCCAGCCATATTTTATCTGAGTATATCTTTCTAAAGCTATGCTATCATGCCTTATCTGAGCATGGTATCTTTATAAAGCTATGTTGCCATGCCTTATCTAAGCATGATATTTTATAAAGCTATGTTGCCATGCCTTATCTGAGCATGATATCTTTATAAAGCTATACTCCCATGCTTTATCTGAGTATATCTTTTTAAATCAATCCAGTTTTAAAGTATGCATTGCCTTGTATGTCTTATTTATATCTGTTGGTAATTATTTACTATAGTACATTATTTTTCTTTAGTTACTTTACGATTAGTATTATTTTTATTATTTATTAACACATAGGCCGTTTCCCACCAAGGCAGGGTGGCCTGAAAAAGAAAAGACTTCATCATTATTCGCTCCATCACTGTCATGCCAGAGGCGTGCTTACACTGCAGTTATAAAACTGCAACATTAACCCTCTCACTGTCGAAACTTGCTGTGTCGAAGAATTTAAAAAAAAAAATTATGTTTTCGTATGAATGATAGAGAATCTTTTCCCAACAGTAATGACACCAAATTATGAAATTTGATGGAAAACTTATGGAATTATGTTCTCGTGAAGTTAGCGGTCTTGGCGATATATACGCACCGGTGATTTTGCCCACTTTGAATCCTATTTTTGGCTAGTTCCATTGTTCCAGTTGACCAAACTCATAGCTATTTTGCTAAAACTCCATTTGTTCTATCGATTGAGTACAAGAAACTGCCCATTTACTGATTTCAACTACCCAGTAAAGTGGCCAGAAATTGGTAAATTGGCCAATTTCACACAAATTTCAAAGGTGCCAATTTCAAAATAGGGTCCAGAATAAACTATGCAGACATTCCTGGCACTAAAATAACACTTTCTCTGTTCATTACTCACATCTCCAGGCCTCTCCTATATTACTCTTGCTTTCCATTTTAAATTTTTATTCACACAAAAAACAGAAGATTTACTGTTACGCAGACTACTACATTATTGTAATTATTGTATAAATAATGTCAACCTATTCGTGACTATGTATTAGACTGGCCAGTTGAACATGTATTGGACGGTGATGTCATTTGTTTACTCTTGAACATCGGCAAAAATCGAACATTTTTGCTATTTTGAGCTCAATTTCAAGGTACTTTTCATCATGAAACAATCAGCGTCATCTCCATTTCTGTAACGTATTTTCCATTCTGTCAAATGAGACCAGGAAAATGAGAATTCAACCACAAATACCATATGAAAATGCTCCTCAAAATCAGCATTTTAAACCAAAAACAAGATCCAAGTTTTTTTTCTTATTATGCACTGTGTGCTGCAGGATTTTTTTTTATACTGCATACACTGACCACACAGACCCATTCTCTCACATGTAGGTCTACCAGCTTTCTCCCGCTAGATTTAAAGCTGCTAGAATTTTGGTGTAATACTATGGCACCAGAAGAAGAAAATTAAAAGTGAATGTAGGAAAGAGTAAGGTGATGAGGATAAAAAGATTAGGTTATGAAAGATTGGATATCAGATTGGAGGGAGAGAGTATGGAGGAGGTGAATGTATTCAGATATTTAGGAGTGGACGTGTCAGCAGATGGGTCTATGAAGGATGAGGTGAATCATAGAATTGATGAGGGGAAAAAGGGTGAGTGGTGCACTTAGGAGTCTGTGGAGACAAAGAACTTTGTCCATCAAAGCAAAGAGGGGAATGTATGAGAGTACAGTTTTACCAACGCTCATAATTACAGTGGACCCCCGCTTAACGATCACCTCCAAATGCGACCAATTATGTAAGTGTATTTATGTAAGTGCGTTTGTACGTGTATGTTTGGGGGTCTAAAATGGACTAATATACTTCACAATATTCCTTATGCGAAAAAATTCGGTCAGTACTGGCACCTGAACATACTACTGGAATGAAAAAAGTTCGTTAACCGGGGGTCCACTGTATATGGGTGTGAAGCATGGGTGATGAATATTGCAATGAGGAGGAGGCTGGAGGCATGGAGATGTCATGTCTGAGGGCAATGTGTGGTGTGAATATAATGCAGAGAATTCGTAGTTTGGAAATTAGGAGGTGTGGGATTACCAAAACTATTATCCAGAGGGCTGAGGAGGGGTTGTTGAGGTGGTTCAGACATGTAGAGAGAATGGAACAAAACAGAATGACTTCGAGAGTGTATAAATCTGTAGTGGAGGGAAGGCAGGGTATGGGTCAGCCTAGGAAGGGTTGGAGGGAGGGGGTAAAGGAGGTTTTGTGTGCGAGGGGCTTGGACTTCCAGCAAAAATGCATGTGTATTTGATAGGAATGAACGGTGACAAATGGTTTTTAATACTTGACGTGCTGTTGGAGTGAGAGCAAAGTAACATTTGTGAAGGGGTTCAGGGAAACCGGCAGGCCAGACTTGAGTCCTGGAGATGGGAAGTAAGGTGTCTGCACTCTGAAGGAGGGGTGTTAATGTTGCAGTTTTATAACTGTAGTGTAAAGCACCCCTCTGGCAAGATAGTGATGGAGTTAATGGTGGTGAAAGCTTTTCTTTTTAGGGCCAGCCTACCTTGGTGGAAATCAGCCGATGTGTTAAAAAAAAAAAAAAATACAGCACGAACACTGGCTTGCAAGCCATAGTACTGCAGCACTGACAGTGAAAGGGTTAAACCTAGACAGCAATGCCTAAGCTTATGTAATAAGGCAAACAGATTACTGGGATTTATATCAAGAAGTGCAAGCAACAGAAGTCCCAAGGTTATACTACAGCTTTTTACATCATTAGTAAGGCCTCACCTAGATTACACAGCTCAGTTCTGGTCTCCATATTACAGAATGGATATAACTTCATTAGAAAACATTCATGAAGAACGACAAAATTAATTCATAGCATTAGAAATCTTCCATATGAAGAAAGATTGAAGTCCCTTCAATTGCATTCACTTGTAAGACAAAGAATGAGGGGAGACATAATTGAAGTGTACAAGTGGAAGGTGGGTATTAACAAAGGGGATATAAATAAGGTCTTGAGGATATCTCTCCAAGAGAGAACCCGCAATAATGGTTTCAAATTAGATAAGTTTAGATTTAGAAAGGATATTGGAAAGTATTGGTTTGGAAATAGGGTAGTTGATGAGTGGAATAGTCTGCCTAGTAGGGTTATTGATGCTAGGACCTTGGGTAGTTTCAAATTTGGGTTGGATAAATACATGAGTGAGAGGGGTTGGATTTCAGTGGGACTTGCACATGAGTGAATGGAGTTACCAAGGCATTGTAGATGAATGGTTCAGAGAACCGACATGTTGATAAATTAGACACATGTGCAACTCTTGGGTATCTTCATTGAGGAAACGTTTCGCCACATAGTGGCTTCATCAGTCCATACGTAGGAGAAACTTGAAGAACAGGAGGAGAACGAGGTAATCAGTCCCTCAACCTTGAGTCGATGGATTGAACACATCGACTCAAGGTTGAGGGACTGATTACCTCGTTCTCCTCCTGTTCTTCAAGTTTCTCCTACGTATGGACTGATGAAGCCACTGTGTGGCGAAACGTTTCCTCAATAAAGATACCCAAGAGTTGCACATGTGTCTAATTTATCAACTTACCAAGGCATGTTTTTTGGGTAGTGCTGAAAGTTGGGTTGGGTAAATATCTTATTAGTGGGATGGATTGTGAAGAACCTGCCTAGTATGGGCCAGCAGGCCTATTGCAGTGTTCCTCCTTTCTTATGTTCTTCTATTCACTTTTAATTTCCTTACAAATACAAATATTTATTTCTCTGTAATAATTACAATGTGGGGTTTACATATTATAGAGTATAGGTTACAATGTATGGTTTCATAGTATAAAGTAGTACTTACAAAGAGGGCCACTGTTATATCTAGCATGACTAGGCATTTTGGCCAGACTAATAATAATTCTAACTCGATACTGATACAGGTTATGGAGCATACTGATATTAAAGCTAGGTAACTGCAGTACAATAAGAATGGTTTTGTCTTGTCATGATATACAGTTTCTATTAAAGCCCCTATATTGGAGTATCTCAGGCAAACTTATGACTAATTTAAGATTTATTAGACAATAGCTTTATTCAAAATTTTATGTTTACAGTCATTTGGGTGAGTGTAAGTGTAAATTTGGGGGAATCACAGATATCGAGAGTAGGTTAAGTTTGTTTTGTGTGTGTGCATGATTCAAGTAAGAGAATAGGTATTTTTTCATATAGTTAGCTGATGGTTGGGTGTATCAGGGAGATTAGATTTTTTTAACAGTAGTTTTGAAAGTGATGGTTGTGTCTGCAGTTCTAGAGTTTTCAAGCAGGGAATTCCAGATTTTAGGCCCTTTAGTGTACATTTTTGCATAGGTTTTAGCCAGACATGGGGAATGTCATAGAGATTTTTGTGCCTGGTGTTGTGCCTGTGGGTCCTGTCACAACTTTCAAGAAAGTGTTTCAGTTCAGGATCAATATTGGAATTTATGGTTCTGTAAATGTAGGTTACACAGCACTGGTCACCGTTGCCCAGCGGTGAGAGTAGCCACTCTCATTGCTGAGGTCCAGGTAACAAACCCTGGAGATTAACATAAAAAATTTTTAAATTAGGCTATGCATTTAAAAATATTCACGTTGATGAAGATAACATTCTTGCAATAGAAATGACGACGTCTCATGGCCAACTAGTGATAGGAACTGGATGTTTTCCCCCGAGACAACAATATATAGAATCAATTCCTCTACATAGGATATTAAGCAGAAATATTCCAACAATTTTAGTGGAAGATTTTAATGCTCATCACCCTGCCCTCTTTAACTGTGGAGTTGGTAATCCACTGGGTGACTTGAAAGGAAAGATGGAGGGAATATTTTGAGGAATTGTTAAATGTTGATGAAGATAGGGAAGCTGTGATTTCGTGTATAGGGCAAGGAGGA